GGGGTTTCACCGTGTTAGCCAGGATGGTCTCGATCTCCTGACCTCGTGATCCACCCGTCTCGGCCTCCCAAAATGCTGGGATTACAGGCTTGAGCCACCGCGCCCGGCCTGGCTTCACATTTTAAGTGAGGAAAACAATAGTGTGCCAGGAAGCCCCTGAGCTTACCTGCTGCCTACAGTCTCCCTCACGGTGGCTGCTAGTGACGCCCTGTCAGACTATGGGACGCTTGACACAAAGACATGATTCAACTCCAACTCTTCTAAGTTAGAATCGCAACCACATACAGTTAGATGTTGAAAAGGAAGCCAGCGACAGAGGAGGCCAGCAGCCTAACACTGCTGAAAATGACGAAGACCCAAAAGGACAGCCTGGTATTCATGAAAGATGCTTACAGAAGAAGAAATCACATTAACATTTACCCACTACCATGGCCTCTTGCTGGGTTTGGCAGAAAAAGAAAAATAAAAAGAAGGAAAAAAGAAAAAAAACGTGCCCACTGCCTCAAAGAAAACTTTCAGTACAATTTTGAGACTCACTGTAGTAACCACTATTAAGAGTAAACGAGGAACAAGGAACAAGAAAGAAACGCTATTTTGCCTCTTGTCTACAAGATACTAGCACCGGAACCCTAAGAAAGGGCGTGGCGAAAAAACGCAGGGAGGCTGTATTGTGCTGAAACTTGCAAAAGTATCACTCTAGGAAGAACTGTCTACGGTTCTGTTTGCTTCGTATTGTCACATGGGGGATGGGAAATACCTCTTTGGTTAACATCGGCATCATACATGTAAAACAAAATCTTAATATACAATCCACACCCAACTTACAAGTCATTTAAAAGTGTTCTTAAGCGGCGAAAACTGACTTTAAATGGCTCTGACGTTTCTGAAGACTCTACTGTAACACTTCATCACAAAGGGGCGAGTCGGATCACTCACACTCAGAATTCTAACCCTCGGCCTCTGTTGCAACACCCTGATCGCCCTATCAAGAAATTACAAACAAACAACTCTACTCTTTGGTTCAAATGTAAATGTCTCTCTTCACCAGCATCGCTAAGGAAGCCTTCCAGCCAGTGAGGACAAAACACGCTCATTTGAAAAGTTGGAGTCTTACGAGGGGTGCCTTGGGGTCCAGCCTCCCGCCCCGGGAACCGGCGTCACCGCAGCCCAGCCGGGTCCACGCCAGTCCCTCGAATC